TGGGCTTGTCTACACAAGAACGTGTCCCAGGCTAAAGGCTCAGGGTGGTTTTAAAGTCCTCAAAGCTCTTCCTGAATTCCTCACTGTGCTTAGTCCAGCATCTTTCTTGTTCTCCTTTTCCTGGTCGCTTGTTCTACATCCCACYTGCTTACTCCTGCTTCAGCCCAGGATACCTGTTTCTACTCCCCTGCCCTTCCTGCTCCTTCTCCTGCTTGCACTGAACAAGCTGGGGCTGCTGAGACTAGATGTAACAAGACAGCACAGGCAAGATATTAGCCTATTTTCACCACAAATGGAAATGGAAGAATCTGTTCTTCAGTTTCATGGTGTATAAAGGAGGACTCAGGCTCCACCAGGAACCTCAACAACTGGAGTTTGTAACTGGAGTGACGTCCTCGTATGGAGGTGGTACCTCCATCCTTGAAAGCACAGATGACACCAGCTTTTGAAAATGACACAGGCRCTACAGACATGTCCTCCCAGCACTGTGTTTTAAGAAATACACATTTCTTAAGCCCATTTAAGAAAATGGGGTGGGTGCAAGACAGCTCTTATGACATTGCATGCAGTCTTGTGTGCACACCAGGGTCCTCCTGCGATGATGTGACCATTATAACCACTGCAGCTATGGCTTCTGCTATTACTGATTAAAAATCACAGCACTTTCATGATGGGTCTTTAAAGATTAAGCTAATTTGGAAAAAAAAGGCTGCAATAGATATTCCAGGCAGCTTCCTTAACTAGATAAGTCCTCCTTGGAGAACCTCAACAAAATCTCCTGTGAGGAGCTGCACTTTTCTAGGGGACAGCAGGGTGGAAAAAAAAAAAAAAAAAAAAGAATCTTGGGCAATTTGAGTACTTACCATGTGGATGTCATCCAAAGAAAAATGGACAAGCTGTGCAAAGCTGCCGGCAAAACTGAGTCTTAAGCAAATAGTATCATGGCTTTGGGAATTAGGGATTGTGTATTCAGAGTTCCTTGCAGTTCACGTAGGAAAGCCCATTAGTGACCTGTGTGTATATGAATGCAATCTTTCCAGTATGGGGACAAATCGACAAAAGTATTAGCCCATATAAATAGTTTTTTGGTTTGTGCTTTTGTTTTTCCTGAAAGTAGACCTCTAAGAAAGTTATTCTGAAGAACAGGTCCAGAGACTGTGGTATCTATAGTTTTCTTTTCTTTCACCTGAAACCTACAGTAAAACTGAGTAAGGAAAATGATCCCATATTGTTCACAATCTGAGGCTGTCATAAATTTGGACTTGTGGGGTTTGTGGTTGACTTCCATACTTTTATYTGGGGGGAAGAATAGCATCAACCAACCTCACTTGTTGAGCCTGGCAAGAAAGGGGGAAAATAAATCATATCTTGAAAGCCAAACTTTCTGCTGATTAAYGAAAGACCAAAGGAAGTGCAACAGAGAAACTCTACAGCTCACAAAAGRTTTCAGCAAGGCAGGACTCGTATCTGTGTTCTGCATTATGACTGTCGTGCACTGATTTCCTTGCCCGGGATGAGAAGGAAATCCACCTGACCGACCTGTGCATGAAAAGCATCTTTGTCCTTTAGTTGGCAACTGAGTCGCATAGCCAAGCAACCCATTATCATCCTCAGGAAAGGGAACATTTAAAGTCTCCGGCAAAAATATTAACTTAAATTTATTTTAAGTGTGAATTATTAACTTCTCTTTGCAGCAGCAATGCTCCACAGCAGCCAGCTCCCTTGTAAACCCCCAGAACTGGAGTAAAAAACCCGCGATAGGGTTTTAACTTTCAGAAGTGCCCAAAGGAGCASAGATTTTCCAGGGAAACGTTCTATTTTGGGCAAAAAGAACTGCTTGCGCTGGTTTGCCAACCCGACAGCCCCAGGAAGGGGAAAAGGATGGGGTCAAAAAACGATGGGGGAAAAAAGGATGGGGGAAAAAAAAAAAAGGAAGGGGGACAAGGGACGGGGACAAGGGGTGTTTTCTGTGCCCTCCTCGCGGAGCCCTTTGTTATGCTAATGCCGCTGACATCACGCCGCATCTCAAAGCGGCGCGGGGCGCATATAAGGGGCGGCTCCGCGGGTCTCCGCGGCAGAGCCGCCCGGCCCCGCGCTGCCTCCCGGCCCGGCCCGGCCGAGGTGAGCGGAGCGGAGCGGAGGGCTAGGGGGGGATAGGGGGGATACGCGGGGAGGTGGCACCGGTGGCGTCTCGGCTGCGCGGAGCGGTGCGGGGGGGACYAGAAGCGCCGGCCGCCCCGGCTGGAGTCTCCCCGAAATGCCGAAGGGTGCGAGGATGAGGATGGAGGAGAGGCAGGGTGGTGCAGGAAGAGGGGAGATCCCGGGGGTGGGTGTCCGGGAAAATCCCCTTGCAAGGGACAGGGGGAAAGCCGGGGGAAGCTGCGAGGAGGTGGGAAACAGGGGAGTTGCAATGGAGAGAGGGGAGATGTGGGGAGCACCAGCAGAGAGGAGAGACCCAGGAGAGCCAGGGGGCTGCAAGGCGAAGGGGAGATCCGAGGGGTATCGGGGAAGGTGCAGAAGAGACAGGGGGACCCAAGGAATTTTGGGGAGAAAGGAGGTGCAGGAGYATCAGGGGAGAGGGGAGACCCACAGAAAGCCTCTGCTTCCCATCCCCACCACAGGACCAGGGGGGTGCATTTATTGCCTCCCAAAAATAGCCACTCCACTTCTATCAGCAAGAGCAGACTGGCATTGGGCTCAGGTGTATGTCTCTTCTCCTTGGGTGGGAAAGCTGGAAAAAAAATACCATGGATACTCACCGTGGTATGGGTCATGTTGCCTATTGCTGTCTGTGTCACTGGACTCTTTGAGGTGTCAAATGGGAAGGTTTGGGTTTTCTTTTTATTGACCTGCCAGTGTGGATCTGACTGCAAACAGACTGGGGAAAAGGTTGCTTAGCGGAGAAGGGTGGAATAAAGCTCYGTTTCTTTGGAGTCTGCAGACCACTTGCTGCAGGTTTGATCAGTGACCCGGASCTCTCCAGAGCTGTAAACAGCACGTTTGCCCCCAAAAGTCCCCCTCCTTCCCTCTCTTCTCCCTCTGCAAATTCCTCTTGCAARCGTAACCTGTGTGAGTGGAAAAAAAAATATAAAAAGGCATTTCTACCTCCCCAAATAACAGGGGTGCAATGGCAGGTCAATCTGGGAGAAATTCGGGGTGGCAGTGAGAGGTTGGATCATTCCTATCCCCTCCTCCTTGAGGGAAAAGACTGTCTGATGGGGGTTAATGAGACCATTGCAGCGCCTAAGAGACATTTTACACCAAAGTCTGTGTTGTCCAGCAATTCAGAGGGGGAAGATAAGGGCTCTGGAGTATCTAAATGGACACTAAAAGGCATGGGCAGGATTAAGGGCTGAAGGTTTCCAGTGTCCTTCCTGAGAGGTGTTTGGAATGGGAGGTAGGGGGGGATTTTCCGAAGGCAAAATGCAGCAGAAATAGCCCGAAACAAGCAGGATGCTGGTAGGAGCCCTGCCTTCCCCTCTCCAAAACCAAACCCGAGAGGGCATTAAAGAACAAAACAAGCCGTGGCAGAGAAATCCTGCCTCCCTTACGGCCGGACGGAGTTYCGTCTCGGACTTCAAGGGAGCTGGGAACTCACCCCTAGAGGTTATTAAAACCCTTTGCAATAGGAGAGCTTCTCCAGTAACCCTTTACACCAGGCATTGGTGTAACCAGCCAAAGAGCAGGGGAGCTGGAAGGGAAAATACCCAGAAATCCCCCCCTAAAGTGCTCCGTCTCCCTCCCATTAATTACTACATGAATTATTAGGGCAGAAAGGTGCAAAATGAGCAAATCCACCCTGGCTGGGGGTTAGAGATCAGGTTTGCTCTGGATTAGGGATGGCAAAGGGGCTCCCCAAAGTGCTGCCCAGATGTGTCCTGCACCGGGGGCTTTAGGGCTGCAGAAACACGGAGGTTTTAGCCAGGAGCAAGATTTCTTTTACTGTTGGGTTGCATATTWATAAAGGGGGGGGTTGCGTGTTTCACTGGGAGAAATCGCTGCAAAACCACAAAGAAAAGTCCAGAGAAGGATCTGTGATGAATAATCAAAGGAATAAACCCATTTTTGCTGCTATTAATAGTATTGTCCGAATTAGCAAGCCCTGCCTTGGGGGAGACCTCTAAGACTTTTGAGTCCTGCACCTAGTTTGTTTATTTGTTTGGACTGGAGAGAAAAAAAAAAAGGGGAAAGAAGGGTAGGGGGATCCTTGAGCCCTTTCATCTCCTCCCGGGGCTTGGGATCGCACGTTCACCCAGTCGCAGTCCCTTTCCGYGAGCTCCAGGTGCCCCAGGACTTGGAAGAAGTGAGAGGCAGAGTTAATGAGGTGAGAAGCAGAGCAGAAGGGGAAGAGTGAAGCCCGTTTGTTACAGCGGATCAGACAGGCTGAAACATCTGCAGGGCACGGGCACCTGTGTCAGTCGGGAAATGCAGCTTTCATAATTTGTCTTTTCTGGAAGAAGAAGTTTAAAAAAGTCTATAGAAGAGGTGGGGAGCAGAAAGAGCTGAAGATCTGGGCTCATCTGGAATTTATCTTTTTT